AGATGAATGGCAGTACCTCACCAAGGATCCAACCACAGCACCTGCCAAATCCACAACTACTTCCAACTAAAAGTTCAGGACAGCAGCAGATACATGGGAAATCTACGACTTGTCAGTTCCCCTCCAAGGCACTCACCATCCTAACTTGGAAATAAACACTGTTGGACACTGTCACTGAGTGAAAATCCCAGAACTCTCCTCCTAACAGAATTGTAGCTGTATCTAAACCCAAAGGGATTACAGTGCTTCAAGTAGGTGGCTCACCACCACCTTAAAAAATGGACCATAAATACTGACCCACCAGTGATGCCCACTTTCTGTGAATGAAAGAATGAGTACCACGTTCTCTTATATAACAATGACTAAATATTAATCATAATTTATTAGCTGTGAAGGGCTTTGGATCCTCATGCCATGAACTACAAACATCTTCAACTTCTTTTGACGAGAATTTGTATATTAAAGGCAAATTCTACCACCCAACTGAGATGCATGGGCAATGCTGATTGATGACACCCCTGGATATGAGATTTGGGAAGGGTCCTTGTTTATATTCCTCCTTGGAGGCCTATATGGCCAGTACTCACCCAAAGGAAGCTGGCCCACGATACAGGTGAGGAGCAGCAGGTAACCACCACCCGCCGCCATCTTGAGCCTCGCCAGGTGTGAATCCCTCAGGCACGCGGCAGCCCATTGTGACTGTAACCCACCCCGCTAGCCAATCACGGCGCAGCTTGGCGCCGCGCGCGGGAGGTCCCGGGTCGGGGCCGCGCACGCGCTTCGAGCAACCGCTCAGAGCGGAGCGCGCGCATTGTGCCAGCTGAGGCGTTAAGAACGTCGATGGTTGGCTGACTAAAACCCCAATAACAAACTTATTATGATAATTGTAAACATATAATAATACATCTAGATTTCGTATTTAGAAGGATGAAGCATAAAATCAGGGATGTTAGAGTGACTGTTTGTAAAACATTGGTTAGCCTTCAACTTGAATATTACATGCAGTTCTGGCCATAACATTTTAGGAAAGATGTAGGAGGTTAAGTGAGACTGTAGAAAATATTTTTTAGATATTTTCTAGCCAACCTGTTCAGAGATGTTATTGTACTTCTTGAGCACGAGAGCTTTGAACCCAGCATCTGAGGCAATGTTTATAAGATTGGTTCCAGATTGAGGGATCAGTTTACTTGGGTAACTTGGAGAATCCTTAAGAGGTTGAGAGGTGTTCCAAGTCATGAGGAGTCTAGACTGAATAGAAAGGGAGATATTGTTCTCATTAATGGAAGAATTGAGAACCAAAGAACACAGGTTTAAAGAACTTGATGGAAGAAGCAATAGCAACCTGAGGCAAAATGTTTCCATGACGTATGGTTAAGATCTGGAATGACATCCCTGAGAATGTGTCAGGTGTATATTCAGTCATGGCTTTCAGAATGAATTGGGATAGTTCTCTGATAGGAATATATTTGCAGGGCAATGGGAAAGATGCAGAGGGAAGTTGGAGTTCATTACTTGCTCTTGCATACATGTTGGCTGAATGGCCTCTTTCTGTGTTACAGCCATCCTGTCCCTTCCTTTGAGGTTCTGATTACCATTTTCATCATCTGTAGTATATGCGAAGGTTCCAGTTGTTATGCACTGTACCGCTAAGCCTAATTATGCAATTCTGTAGGGTGGTGCTTGTATGGAATGAGCTACCAGAGGAAGTGGTGGAGGCCGGTACAATTACAACATTTAAAAGGCATCTGGGTGGGTATATAAAAAGGAAGAGTTTAGGAGGATATGGGCCAAATGCTGCAAATGGTACTAAATTTATTTAGGATATCTGGTCAGCAGGGACGAGTTGTACCGAAGGGTTTGTTTCCGCTGTACATCTGTATGACTCTATGATTCTATATAATTGATTAATAAATGTCTAATCTAAGGTTTTGGAGTAGATCTGTAGCTCGGGTTGTGGGTCCACGAAAGGAGAACCATGACTTCGACTGGGACAACACCAAGATCCTGGGACAGGCTAGGCAGAGACAAGCACGAGAATTCCTGGAAGCATGGCACTCCACGAAACAGACTATTAATAAACACATTGAACTGGACCGCATATACATTCCACTACGGAGGAAACCCGGAAGTGAGGCAATCCATCGCAACAGACCCCAGAGTTTAAAAACCAGGCAGGAAAACACACCGACGCTTCATCAGAGGCTGCACTGAGGATGTTACCAAGCACGGTAGCGAAACATCTGCGGAAGAACAAACCAGCTCGGCGAGCCAACCAACCTCAAATGTCTAATCACCAAACACTGAATCACCACAAGGAAATGTAGTTGGGGTTTAAAAATTGATGACTAACTTTATTAATGCTTACCAATTTTCCAAAACTCCTGGTGTGGAGCAATAAATTGTGTCCACAATCCCTCCAGTTTGAAAACAATCATGTCAAATACATAACGTGCAGTGGGTTATAGTCCATTTAAGGGCAACTTGAAACTGTCAGATGTTTTGATGCTTTGGGAAATCACCAAAATTGGAGGTGGAAAGTATGTGTCTATAAAGTTTGGATAATGGTCAGATATGCATTTTTAAAAGCTAGGCTGCTTGCTGAAAATTCACACATATTCAGCTGGAAATTATACAAGCTACTAGCAAGTACACATTTCAGTTTTTCGTTCAAAGAAACCTGCTTTGAAATGTCACTTTGCAAGCTGCACGTGTAACAAGCGTATAATTTGCATCAGTTGATTCTAATCATTAATATTATCCTATTATTGCAGCTCTGTGTAACAGTGATCTCCATTGGAAAAGTATATTCAAGTGGTCTGAACATCTCTGGAAACCTAAGCCAGGTGAGAATCAAAGATACTGAAGAGCAAAGAGAAAACTATTTTCTTGTACTCTTTCCTCTTATTGTTTGGTACATAATATCAGCAGGAATGTGGGATCACATTAATAACATGGTTGGTGAAGTAAAGGAACCTAAATATTTTCAGTAGGAAGAGAGAGATTGGGCTAAATTTGTCTCTTGTGTACTCCTGACAGGTGGCCTTATCTCTTGAGAGTGGATGTTGAGAAATTACATTCTGGCAGCCTCTGATTTTCCATTTGATAAAATGAATAGAGCGCAGTATGAAATCACCATTCTCTTACCAGACCATAGGGTTGCATTCTCAATAGAGAGATGGCTGATGGTGGTTTAACCTGAGGGAGGATTACCACACCTCAGGCAAGGTTTAGACGGAGGGTCCTTCATGGTAACCTCAGCTGGTGTGGGAAGTGAAAGTACGTCACAAACCAGCCATCCAGCCAACTGAGCTATATACTCACAGAATTAGATTAATTTACCATATCATCCACCCTCCCCTCCCAATTTCTGTTGCTTTGCTGTGTCAAAAGAAAAATTCTTTCTAACACCCGTTTTGTGGATGAGACTTCTGAGTACCATGTTTAGGAAGGATGTGAAGACATTAGAGAAAATATAGAAAAGATTCTTTGGAATGGTGCCAAGGATGAGGAACTTCAGTTACATAGATTGGAGAACCTGGGACAGCTCTTGAGAAGGAAATATTCAGAGGATATCTGGTACAGGTATTCAAAAATGTGAGGAGTCCAGACAAAGTGTATTGGGGAAAACTATTCCTGTTGGTGGAGGCATAAACTCTAAGATGAAGGAACATAAATAGGCCATTCAACCCACTGAATCTGCTCTGCCACTCATGAGATGCGGTGATCTGATAATCTTCAACTCAACTTTCCTTTTCTCCATTGCCCTTGATTCCCTTACTGATTAAAAATCTGTCTATTGCACTCTTGAGTATACTTAACAAACTGGCTGTCTGCAGTAAAGAATGCCACACTACTCTCTGAAAGAAAAAAAATCCTCCTTATCACTTAAATACACACACACACGCACACACACACACACACACACACACAATTTTCAGACTATGGCCCATGGTCAGAGACTCTCCCACAAGGGGAAACAACCTCTCTGCATCTACCCTGTCAAGCTACCTTAGAATCTTGTATGGGTCAAAAACTAGATTTAAGGTAATTGCCAAATAAAGGAATGATGACACAAGGAGAAACGTTTTGATTCAGCAGGTGGTTAGGATCTAACCTGAGAGTGTGATTTAATTGAGTCATTCTAAAGGGAATTAGGTCACTATCTGAAAAGGAAAAATGTGCAAGTCTACAGGGGAAAGGCAGGAGAATGCACTCGGTGAATTGCTCCTGCAGAGATTCAGTAGGGCATGACGAGCTCCTGTGGTGTGACTACTCTGTTTCTATGATTTGTCAAAATGTTTCTTTTTAGGTACCACTTCGTTTCAGTGAAAGCAATCCAGTAAAACTCACAGAATACTCAAATAATGTGCACTTGCAGCTAATTTATTGATATACAATGAAATATGTTATAATTTTGCACATTCCCATGTTATAGTCCATAATAAGATTTAAAGAAAACCAGATTCAAAAATGGCTTAAAATATAATGAAGAGCAAGTTTGCATTTTCCCTATAATTGTTTCCAGAGTCTGCTAATGAAAATAAACATCAAACTTAGTCCATCCAGCTTTTCTACAGATCAGGAAATTAGTTAAGGGATAAAGACCTTTATCTGAATATACATGGGGTTTCTCCTGATCTTTCATCATAACTTCAGCATTTACCCCATTTTCCCAGATTTTAGTCAATCTTCTACCAAGATTGTAGCAGCAGAGTAGGAGAACCCCAAAACTGTTTTACTTCATAATCAACATGCACCAGTAGTGTGATTAGAATCCCTACAGTGTGGAAGCAGGCCATTCGGCTCATTGAGTCCATACTGACCCTCTGAAGGGCATCCCATCCTGACCCATCTCCCTATCCTATCTCTGTAACCAATGGCTAATCCACCTAGCTTATACATTCCTAGAGACTGTGGGCAATTTAACGTGGCTAATCCACCTAAACTGCACATCTTTAGACTATAGGAGGAAACTGGAGCCCTGAAGGAAATCCATGCTGTCACAAGGAGAATGTGCAAACTCCACACAGACAGTCGCCTGAGGGTGGAACCGGGTCCCTGGTGCTGTGAGGCAGCAGTGTTAACCACTGTGCCACCGTGGCAAAAATAACCCTAGGTCCAATGTGATAGGTTGAAACATGATGCTGGACCCTCAATAATGGCAGAAAACTTCGAGGACAGATGCACTCCTCTGTATCAGATCTGTATATTGCCACTCAATGTAAGTAAATGTTGGGAGTAAATGATAACACTGACGTTTGATCATGTGTTTGAACTTCAGATGCCCATTAGTGTTGGATAAAGGTTCTTCAGTCAGAATAGCTCATCCAAGTTTGGGGAGGATGTGTTGGACATCTCTAGGGGACTGATTATAATCCAGTTTTATTCATGCAGGTTAATTCATTTAACTAACAAAGTAAATCCAGTAGGCTACATGGTGGCTATTACTAATACCAGTTTTTTTTTCAGAACTTTTTGATTAACTAAATTTAAGTTCCTCAGCTGCCACGTGGGATTTGAACACAAATATAATCACTTTTCTACCATTCCTAGTCATTCAATACCAATAATTATCCGTAGTAGAGTAATGGTTGGCTGAAATAACAAAACATTGGTGCAAATGAAACATCATCAACATTGCCACTCTTACAGACCCTGGAAACCTACTGAGGATTTTCATCGGTTTATTTTAATTTATGTTGCAGCTTGGTTTCAGGGGAGGATGCTCTACATAGTCGCCCCTTCACCAGTCCTAAAACTGATATTGATGATCATTGTGTTTTTAAAGTGGAAAAAGAGTATACCATAGATATGATCCCTGAACCCAGACAGATAATAATTTCATGTTACTTTCTACACAGGTAAAATCTAAATGCTGTGATTATAGATATTATCAGTTATACCATGGACAGAAAATAAGTCCCATGAAGATTTTTCAGGTGCTTCTTTTTGATGAAGTCATGGTGCTTGAATTGGACATATTGGTTTACCTTCTGCAATATACCACACTTCATTATGTCGACCAGTTAATGTCTTTGGACTAAATGAAAAAGAAATTAAAAACAAAATTATTGAAATGAAAATTGCAAACTAATATACACAACATACAAGACAGAATGAAGAATTGACCCCAGTCTTTTTCTTCAGTTTATAATTGTGATGTCAGGTGTGAGATTTATGTATGTTAATATCATTTATTTTAGAGTTTGGATTTTGAACTAGTGGTACATGGATTTTTGTCTATGAGGGGAATTGAGTAATTAACTTGTCACCTTTTTCTGGAGCCACGATTTTTAAACCAGCATGAGAGAGCAGCTCCTAGAGCGATGATAGGAATTTGTTTGCAAAATGAGAGCTTTATGATTGAAAAGAGCAAACATTGAAAAGCATTAATTGCCTTCAGTTTAGAGAAATCAGTAAGGGTGTTTGTTTTCTTTTGACTAGGGGAAACACCCAGATATTGGCAAGTTTTTGGTTTCAATTCACAGAAACCAAAAGGTTGAGGTTAGGTATAAGATAGTTTTCTCCTGAATATGTGTTCAGAATAGTTAGAAAATAGGTTGCCTCAGTGTAAATATTTTAGTTTGAAAGTTGTGGACCTGACATGTTTGATTAAAAACATGAAGGAGTTATCTGAAGCTAAGAAAGTTTAAATTCAGTTGTGTAACACTTCAAGGAAAAATCTATCAAACTCTGAAGACTGGAAATTGAAAGAAATAGTTAAGTGAAACCTATAGATGTAATCAAGACAGGAGCTCTTTCTGGTATTTCAGCACTGTAAAATGATATTGGGATAGATAATTTACTGTATGTTTTGAAATCTTTCACGCTATGTTATATGTAAATAGCCTGGTTTCTTCTATTTTATCTTCACTTCTTTTGCATAATAAACTTCTGGTTTATTGTTAAACCAAAATCTGTTTCATTTCAGTGAAAGATCTATCAAGCTGGATTTCAGTCTGAGATCTGACTTGTCCAGTAGTTTCACCAGCTGGGATCATAACACCCTTCTAGGACAATGTAAGGGAGACAAAAAAAAATCAAGCAAAATAGAACCATCTCCATAGTTAGTATTACTACTAAGCCCATGCGTAAATTGATTTTCCTTTCTTCTAGATTGGAAATATTTTGTCTTTTCTTGGTTAGTTGTGTCACTTGAATAGCCAATGTTTGAACTCATCATTTGAGACATCATGGATCTACATCTTTTTTCAAATCCTGTTTAAAGGTGTGGGGTAGGCCATTTAGAACTGAGATGAGAAGAAATTTCTTTTCTCAGAGAGTGGCGAATCTGTGGAATTCTCTGCCACAGAGAGCTATTGAGGCCAAACATTGACTATTTTCAAGAAGGAGTTAGATATAGTTCTTGGTGCTAAAGGGATTAAAGGGCCTGGGGAGAAAGAAGGAACGAGTTTCTAATTTGGTTGATTGACCATGAACGTGTAGAATGCAAATGCAGAGCAGGCTCAAAGGGCTGAATGGCTGACTCATGCTCCTATTTTCTATGTTTCTGTCCTTTTAAGGAGATACTCACACTCCATTATATTGCTTTTTGTCCCTCCCCATTTCATCATTGTTAAATCTTTGAACTGTATGCAAGGGATTGCAGATGTGATTGCCTTTCTTGCAACACATTGTGTATCAGTTCACTCAATTACCTAAATAACCATTGCTTTAAAGCAAGGTCTCCTGAACATGCATTAAATAGTTACCTATTGTAGCCAGCGCCATAGTAAAAACTGGAATCAAATTGTTCAGCTGCATTGTTCAGCTGCTGTTTCAAACTCTTGGCATGGGATTTTGAATTCCATGTCATTAACCAACCACCAAACGATTTCACAAAGGCATGCATATCTGGGAAGTCAATGAAATAAACCTGTTTAATATAAAAGAAAAAAAGTCAATAAGTTAAGATGGAAAACAATGGAATCAGTTCTTTAATGTAATAAAAGGAATTCCTACTTCAAAACTTCACTGTTGAGTAATAATTAAGTTCCATAGAATTGTGCATTTTAGGTTTACTGGTATATCTGAAATTTACCATATCTTAAACTCCTGGTCCAATGTGTTCAGCAGAAACATGATACTAGACCCTGAGTAGTGACAGAAAATTTTGAGGACTAACGTGCTGCTCTGCTATTCAATGGTGCCAAATGGTGGGAGCATGTGATGTCACTGACTTCTAGTTCACATTGAAAGGAGATGTTAAGATTAGGATAGGGAATTTAAGATTTTTAAAACATGTTAAGTGTACATGAAACTTCCTTGTTTGAGGTGACAAGCAGCAACTCACCTGTATGCAGAGCTTCTGATTGGCAACAGACTATGCAGGATTATTCTGATTGGCCAGGTGTTTTTCTCACATGGAGTGAGGGGAGTGGGCAGTGTGCAACATTTGATGACCATATAAAGATTGACATTCACTGAACTCTTGGAGCAGATTGACTGCTTCACCCTTCAACCAGTGAATGACATATTATCAAGGCAAAGAGGAAGGGTAAAAGACGAAGGAAGTCAGAATTTAAACAAATACGGCGCATTAAATTGGCTCAACATACATTTTCAACAAATGTTGAACCATATATCTACTCACGTTAGTGTCAATGGGCGCTGGTGGATCCTGCTGATAATTAGCTGGTAACAAAAAATGGATGATGTAGGTTTTGCTCTCTAATAACTGTTTATCTTGAGGTATCTTCAGCAGAACTGGAGCTGTCATGTCGATATTTTTGCCTGTGTTTAAATAACACTGTTAGTGTTTCTTGAATATGAAGCAAAATAGTTCTCCCATTCCGCTCTTATATTTTTGGTGCTAGATTGACAAATCTGGAAAAATTGGGTAAATACTGAAGTGATAGTGAAAGATGGATGAATTCTTATCTGTAGCCAGACAAAGGTCATTATACCTTAACCAATATACTGATTTATATGAATTTTGCTTGGGCAGAACGTGTTGTGCAAGGCATTACAAGATTTTATAGTACTGGAGACAAAATAAGGTTAATCAGATAATAGTGGGTGACTGTGTCTGCATTAAATATAACTTCCTTTCTATTCTTTGTTGGCTGCCTGTCCCCTAATGTGTTTAATTTTGGCTCTTAGCCTTAATTCCTGTTACATCCTCGTCCTACTTTAACTCTGTAATATGTGGCAGCTCTATACTCTTACTCTTTAGTCCCGAACACTCTGCTGTCTTAATTCCATTTGATTTACATAATCCTTTGCTTGGTTTGGAATTGATGATAAAGCCTTTGATGGCTTTGCTTTTTTTTGTCAGAATACCTTTCCTAAACCCCTCTACTTTTCTACCTTTCTTTAAAAGCTTTCTCAAAAAAACCTTAAGAATGAGGTTTGTCACATCCAGACCCCAGGCGAGGTTTCCCAGTTTGTTACAATTCCAAGTGGCATACCCCAAACTGTTAAACTCCCGGGGAGGAAGGATGAACTGGTTTCCCTTCTTTAATTACCTGACCCTCAGTCACTTGTGAATACCTTTCACATAGACTCAAATTAACTTAATTTTTAAAAGAAGTCAATTTAACTAAGCCTTCTCAAGTTAACAAAAAGTGAGTTTATTAATGTCAAAACTGGAGAAGTATTAATAACACACATACACACAGGTTAGAATTAAGGGTTGAGTCCAAAAAGATAAAAGTTAAAAAAAAAATGGATGGATCTGTAAGAAAACAGAAATTGCTAGAAAATTTCAGCAGATCTGGCAGCGTCTGTGGAGGGGAATCAAACTTAACGTTTCAGGTCCAGTGACCCTTCCTCAGAACTGATGGTCACTAGGAAAATGTTTTTTATGCAGAAGATAGGGTGAGGGGAGGGGGTAAGGAGTAAATGATAGGGGTAGTTAGAGCTCAAAGAGAGAGAACTGTTGGACAGACAAAGGAATGTATAACGGTCAGGAGACTGAATAGCTGCTAATGGGGACTATTAGTGGCTAACAATGGGTAATGTGTAATAGCAGACCATGTGATAACAAGGCTTGGTGTCTAGGGATTGGGTTAAGGACATGGGAGAAGGACAAGGGATCCGACTGTGAATTGTTAATAAAGCTCGGATATTTGAATGTTGTGGCCATTGTAAGTGGGGGTTACAGGTAGCTTTGATGATTGTAGTTGAACAGTTAGTATCTGAGTTTTTTTTGTTTTGTAGTTTGGTTGAATTTCACAGAATCACAGAATTGTTACAGCCCAGAAGGAAGCTATTCAGCCCATTACACCTGCACTAGCTCTTCAATCAAGCATCATCACCGACTGAAAACCTCCTGCTTTGTGCCCCATATCCTTGTCTATTATTTCTATCCAAATAATTATCCAACGCCCTCTTGAATACCTTAATTGAATCTGCCTCCAACACATTTCCAGGCAGTGTATTCCATACCCTAACTACTCACTGAGTGGAAAAGCTTTTTTGTCACATCAACCTTGCTTCTTTTGCACATCACTTTAAACCTATACCCTCTTATTCCTTCTACCAACTGCAGCAGCTTCTTCCTATATACTTCATCCAGCCCTCTCATGATTAGCATTGCTGCCTGATAGCGCCAGGGACTCAGGTTCGATTCCAGCCTGGCGTGACTGTCTCTCTGGAGTTTGCACATTCTCCCCATGTGTGCGTGGGTTTCCTTCGGGTGCTCCAGTTTCCTCCCACAGTCCAAATATGTGCAGGTTAGATGGATTGGCCTTGCTAAATCGCCTATAGTGACCAGGGATGCAGGTTAGATGGGTTAAACATGGGAAATGCAGGGTTAATGGGATAGGATAGGAGGGTGGTTCTGGGTGGGATACTTTTCAGAGCGTCAGTGTAAACTTGATGGGCCGAATGGCCTGTTTCCACACTGTAGGGATTCTATGATTTTGAGAATCTCTATCAATTCCTTTCTGAAAAGAGAACAGTCCCAACTTCTTCAATCTATACACATAGCTGAAGTTTCTCATTTCTGAAACCATTCTTGTAAGTCACTTCTGAACTTTCTCCAATGAATTCACATCTCTCCTATAATGTGGCATCCACAGCTGTACACAGTAGTCCAGCTGAGGTCCAGCAAATGACTTATACAAGTTTAACATCACCTTCTTGTTCTTGTACTTGCTGTCGATTAATAAAGCCAAGGACACTGTATGCTTAACTGATTAGCCTGTCCATTTGTCCTGCCACCTTCAATGACCTGTGCACATACACACCTAGTAAATCTAATTTTAAAATCTGTGTCATTTTTAAAACGAGTTCCCTGTAGACTCACCTCTTGTTGTCTCCATAAGCTCCTCTGGCCTGCAAAAGTTATCTTTCACCCTGATTTCAGGCAGTCATGAATTACTTTTTCCAGTTGCTCAGTTATTGACAACATGGCCTTAGTCTTTTAGATTCCATTCTCTGGAATTTCATTTCTGAAAGCCCCTTGCCTCTTGACCTTCCTCTGTTGCTTTAAGGTTCTTCATAAAACTTAACATCTTAGTTTTGGCAAAATCCTGGCACAATCTTTTTAATAATTGTTAAAAGTGGCTTTAATGGGTTTTCAAAAACAAACTCTTTGTAATGAAGTGCAGGGCTGGATGAACACAGCAGGCCAAGCAGCATCATAGGAGCAGAGAGGCTGACGTTTCGGGCCTAGACCCCCAGGTCTAGGGGGCCCTGTTTTAAAATTAGGGGTCACCTTTTCAA